TCTAGGAAAAGCAGCTAGGCCAGGTCATGGACGAGGGAGGACCCACACTGACATTTAATCTGAGCAGGAGTCCAGTTTTTAAAGGAAAAAAATGTAGATATCAAAAGGGTAATGGAAGAAAGGTCTTATTTCTCTGGTAACTATTTTTCTAGTTAAGCCAATTGAGAGAGGGGGTTCATAGAAGGACACTGAGATTTGCTGGACAATGACAGGCCCTGAAAGAGAGACTTTTATTTCTAGGATCAGCTGGGATCAAAGATGGGATGGACAGATCTCATCTGGCCTTGGAAAGAGCTGCTGTAACTCTTGAATATTAGCAGAGAGGACTTCACACCAATTTCTTGTCTAGCAGTGTATGTGGGAACAGTGCTGTGTCAGTTAAAGGCATTTACTTCATGGGATTCCAAGTATTACACCATCTTCAAATGAAAATATTAACCACAGTGTATAGCCACTTTTCAAAACCAGTTTTCTCCTTGCCTCAAATGAACTATAAAAGAAGTCAAAAGTAGAATCTACTTATCAAATGAAAGTTGTAACAAAAGAATTGTTAGAATAAAGAAAAGGTTCCTTAAGTGTCTTTTATCTCCAATTGTTACAGTAAATATTTTGTCTTCACAAGGGGGGTAGACCCATCCACATTTTATGGACAGTTTTCCAAATAGTGACCTCAAAATGAGCAAACTAATTTTGTTGGTGCTTTGTGCCATCATACTTCCAAAAAAAAAAAAGGAATTCTGAGGTGTTCTTAGCTAAGTAAGTTTATTAGAAGCAAACATTATGACTGTTTCCTGCCGTTGCCTCAAGGAGCTTCCTTATTTCAGTATTTACCCTACCAAATGTCTTTCTCAGGACTTTACTCATTTCCAAATTCAGATGAATAAAGAGGGTTTCAGATTTGCTTCTCAATTCCTGAGCAGGCAGGAGGAGTTTGGAGAGCTGGTGTGAAGCCACAGCGTATTATTGGCCTGCCTTTCCTGCCCAAAGGTCACTTCCACATCTCCGTAGATGGGACATTAGCCTCTTGAGCTGGCAAGATCTGTTACTCTTTTGTCTTTACTTTAGAGGGTCATCCGTAGGAAGAAGATCTGTAACTTTACCCATTATGCATTTTCATCTGGTCACTTCTACCAGATGATTCTGTCTTTTTAATGAAATAATGAAGTGTGAGGCTGTTTCTTTCGCAGTGGGAGGAACCAAGGCACCTGGGTCAAGTCTTCAGTGTCCACTTCGACCAGAACCTTGAGCAAGAATACCCAGTAGCGCCCTGACTGGTGTGGCTCAGTGGGCTGGGCATGTTCCCGCAAACCACGTCACGATTTAGTTCCTGGTCAGAGCGCTTGCCTGGGTTGCGGGCCAGGTCCCTAGTTGGGGGCATGTGGGAGGCAATATTTTTCTTTCTTTCTCCTTTCCTTTTTCTTTCTCTAAAAGTAAGTAAGTAAAATTCGAAGATTTTACTCTTCAGATTTAGTGTGGTTGCCTCAACTGCACCCTGTAATGGGGACCTGGCCTGCAACCCAGGCTGGGCCCTGACTGGACATCAAACTGGCAACCTTTTGGTTCACAGACCGGCACTCAGTCCACTGAGCCATACCAGCCAGGGCTAAAATCTTTTTTAAAATGCTGTAAAAAGAATACCCAGGAGAGAAAAATGCTTTCAAGTATAATTCGTGGTATTCTCAACCCAGTAGTTGATTGCTTGTGAGGGGTGGGATTTCGGAATCCCTGGACTTCACTGCTGCCAGTGGTACAAAATGTGCGATCTCTTCCAGTGGATCGTATCTGAGCAGAGGGCTGTAATCAAAACAGGGTCTGGAAATGCACACAGTGGACTCATCATAATCCTCCCCAGTCATCCTGATTCTGCAGGGTTCCTCATCTGGAGTCTGGTGCTAGGGAAAGCTGTTCACTGGGAGGCGGGATCGGGAAAGCACCTGGAACCTCTCTGCTGGGTAGTAAGTTCCTATAAATTCCACTTGACCTTCCTTTTTCTCCAGTCTTTCTTCCTCTCGGTGTGATGTAGTGGTAAAACTCATGGGCTAGAGAGTCAGAGCTGAGTTTGAAAGCCGTATGAGTTACTTAGCTTTTCTGAGCCTCAGTTTCCTCAGTGGTGATGGCATTTTCCACTTTAAAGGGTGGAGGCAAGGGCTGCATGAGGTTAAACTCGAGCTGTGGTTCATTGTAGATGCTCAGTGGGTGCATGATGGTGCCCCTCTTTCCTTTCCTGTCTTAAAAACCTCATGCCTCTATCTGAACTAGTCTCAGAGGGGCTGATCAGTGCAGTCATCCTGGTTCAAATGAAAAAAATGGTATTGAACAAAGCTAATGTCTACCAGAGTAGACACACCAGGCTTCATAAGAGAAGTTAGAACACTTACTTCAGTGTATAGTCAGCTCTGCTATAACGTGTGTTCCTGAAAATCATCAGGCTATGTACAATCACACAAAAACCACAGGGCTTATGGGAAAAGGGGGTTAGGGGCATATGCTTGAAAATTTGGCAGTGACACAGAAAAACTAGAAACCTAATAGTGATGGTAGTACAGCTTTGCACATTAAATGGTTGAGATACATAACATTACATTAAACATGGCATGTTTCCATAAAAAGACCTGAAATTTGCTTGTGGAAGCAGATGTTGGGTTGGAGTTTGTTGGTGTTGTCTTGAAGGAGTGTTATCAGAAATCAGATGAGAGTTGTACTGCCAGATGAGTGTGGTATATAACGTGGTAAACTGAGGTAACTGGTAGATGGGTGAGTTTTGTATTCCTGTGCAGCTGGGTTCAGTTGGGGGAAGACCTCTATGTTCATCTAGTGTTTTTCAAAGGCAAAATCATGCATAAGCAAACACAAAGTTTGCATTATGCTCAAATTGTACCCTCATGTATCAGTCACATTGGAATAGATATGCATTTTCAAAACATCAGTTTCAGCAGAACCAACTGTACCAGCTACCTAGAAAAGGTTGCCTTCCCCTAGGCAGTACCCTGAAGACAAGTAAATAAAATCAGTGTAGCTCTGCTGGTGTAGCTCAGTGGATTGAACACAGGTCTGCGAACTAACAGGTTGCCAGTTTGATTCCCAGTCAGGGCACATACCTGGGTTGCAGGCCAGGTCCCCAGTAGGGGACGTGTGAGAAGCAAGCACACATTGATATTTCTCTCTTTCTCCTTCCTTTCCCTTCTCTCTAAGAATAAATCAATGTTTAAAACAATCAGTTGTAAAACATAAAAACTAATGGAACCATTAACATTTTATAAAGTGGTAATTATAAATTGTGGGAGACTGTTCTGTGTGGCACGGACCCAGCTCCTACTCGGCGATGCACAAGACCCACACCCACGGATAGGTTCTCCTGTGGGGAATCAGGCCTGCAATGTGCCTAGATTCCTAGGCACACTTTGAGTCTTGCTTTTGCTAAAAACTCCCTCACCCTAACTTGCAGCAAACATTTACTGCAAAGTAACTTCCTAAAATCCATGCTAAACCTTCCAAGGATGAGTGTAACTGGTTCAACTACTTTTCCCTTTTCATTTGCAAATATCACTCTCCTATGATGTGATTAGTGTCATTGGCTCCTTTTCTGTAAAAGGTAACCACCTAAAGCCAACCTGTGCATAGTAAATCAGGACCATCATGTAATGTGCCCAGAAAAAGAAATAAAGGCCTGTCATGGGGGAGGTCAGGCTTTTGGCTCCTCTTGAGAGCGAAGTCGCCCAACCTTTTTTTCTTCCACAGGACTTGGTAGTCTGTGCGAATGTCTCTCCCCCATCCACAATGTCTTGGACTCCACGAGCCAGGGTCTGCCTCAATAAATATTAATTTTTTGCCCTGGGCAGGAGGCTCATTTGGTTAGAGCATCATCCCATGCACCAAAATGTTGTGGGTTTGATCCCTGGTCAGATCCCTGGGTTACAGGCTCAATTCCTGGTTGGGGCGCATATGGGAAGCAACTGATCACTGTTTCTCTCTCTCCCTCTTTCTTTCTCTCTCTCTCTCTCTCTCTCTCTCTTTTTCCCTCTCTTCTTCTCTCTCTAAAATCAATGAAAATATCCTTGGGTAAGGATATAAACAAACAAACAAACAAATAAATAAAATGTTTGCATTCTTTATCTATCCGTTGTTGTATTTTGGGTAAGTGGAGTAATTATCAGACTGTTGACTGTGGGAATAATTGGGAGTGTGGGGATGGGTATCCTTGGCTGTATTTTGTAATGATTTTGTGTGTAGGTTACTTCTTTAGCTCATCAGCTACCTTGCTGTTCTCAGTAGCACAGATGAGCCACCCTCAGTGCCCTGATCTCATGTTAACTGACACACAGACTTACAGGGAAAGCAGTCAATAAACAACATGGGTACAGTGCAGTCAGTAAATGATATGCTGTGCTTCTTCTAGTCATCCTGATCTCTTTTTGAAGGTTCTCTGTAAATGAATCCTATATTTTAAAAAGTAATGTAATTGTGAATATATATGATGCTAGGAGAACAGTAGTGATCATATAAATTGTGATGTTAACAGGTAGTGTGGGCTAAAAAAGCTATGGAGTTATTTATAGATCAATTTTAGGAGAGGTGTGTGAACCACAGAAATTGTATACAAAGTTTTATTGGTGAGTACATTTTGGAAGGAAAGAGACCTCAGCTTTAATCACATTCCTAGATGGATCTCTGATCTCGAAATGGGCAAGAAACATTGATTTAGAAAAATCCATGGAATTTCCATATGGGTCATTTAGGGGAACTTAGAGCAATCGATGGCATATGCTAGTGCTGGGAGTCCGTAAAGGGCAGCTGTTAACAGTTTTCTCAGGAAGCACCCCAGGGAGGGGTCCGCTGTCAGTGACAGCATGGGGCTGGTTTGACCCGTGGGTTGACCTTGCGTGACATCTTTGATGTTTCCTCTCAAATTAGCCACCTCAGTAGTGAAGGAATCTCTTCCAAACAAGGGCTTACTGCTTTTCAGCTGTGTATCTCATGCTTCCCTTGACTTTATTTTTCAGATGGGAACAACGAGAGTTGCCCAATGGCCGTGTCTATTATGTTGACCACAATACCAAGACAACCACCTGGGAACGGCCCCTTCCTCCAGGGTAAGGCATGGACTGACAAGCCTTGAGACACTAGAAGTGGCACCAAGATCACCCGTGGTTCCCTGATCAGTGATTCTGATGGTTGGATGTTGTCCTGCAAAGTGAAAGGTCACTGGTTTGATTCCCAGTCAGGGCAGATGCCTGGAATGTGAGTTCAGTCCCTGGTTGGGGCACATATGACAGGCAGCCAATCAGTGTTTCTGTTTCACATTGATGTTTCTTTCCCTTTCTCCCTCCCCTCCCCTCTCTCTAAAAATTAAAAAAAAAAGAAAAAGAAAAGACTCACCCAGCGGCTTCTCTACCACTAACTGCTATGGCCTCATCTTTATTTCCCTGCACTCTCTTCTTTCTCTCTCTCTTTATCCCTTCCTCCCTTGGTCTTTTCCTTCTAAGTTCCTTCCTCTCTGTTCCTATTTTCCCTTCTCTCATGCATTGTGTTGGCCGTGACTGATGGCCATGGGCTTTATTAAGTGGTATATACAGAGCTGCTATGGCGGTTGGATCCTGGAGGAAGGAGGGTGGGGGAGGTGTCTCAATGCCCTCAGTCATTTCCCCTGCACAGATACCCTATTAGAGTCAGGTCTGCAGTCTCTGTCTATCGAGATAGCAAAGTACAGGGACAATTTATCTTGGGTCCATTGATTATTTTTCCTATTCGCTTACCTTAGTTTTGCTTTTATTTCTTAAGACATACTAGGATTTTCAGAGCATCTCTGAGAAAGCTGGGCATGGGGAGGCCAAGATAGTGAGAGTGGTGGTGAATCTCACAGCACCCTGTGCCCAACCAGGCCATGAAAATAGTGTGCTTCTCGTTCAGCTGGGCTTTGAGAGAATGCAGCTTATGTTCTCCAAAACCAGAGGACGAGTGAGGCTTCCAAGTGAGAGAAGACTATCCAAGTTCAAGGAGAAGAGGTTTGGTTCCCTCTGCTAGGGATAGAATGATCTTTCCGCATGTGTCTGCCTGTGCTTAGAGCTTTCCAAAGGAAATGTATTCTGCTCTCAGGAAAGAATTACCTCTCAGTCAAGCAACTGCAAAGGGCTCTTGCATAAAATATGAACAGTTGTCCCCCTCTCTGCTTGTGGAGGGGCAGGATGTCAGGGGTGGGGGAGCCCCTGTGCTTCTTTTGGCTCAGCGGGCAGGCGTGTGCCAGGTAAATACCACCTCGCCTTCTGTCCTGCAAGTTTCCGTGGATGGGCTGCTCTTAGTTCATTTTCCAGGAGAATGCTTTTGTTTTCTTTTTTTACCTTATCCTTCTGGAAATGAAATTCATACTATGTCATCTTTAGTCTTCACTCTGTTTCTACTTTGACTCTAAGTCCAGTGAAGTTACCGAAGTTAAGCATTGACTTCTTAGGGAAAAAACTAAACATTTTATTATGGAAATTATCTCATTATTATGGAAACTTTCACATATGCACAAATCAGAGAAAGCCCCATATGTTCAACACTTAGCTTCAATAATTATCAGCTCATAGCCGGTCTTGTTTCATCTATACCAGGGCTTGGACACCTATAGGCCTGTGGACAAAATCCAGCCCTCTGTCTATTTTTGCAAATGAAGTTTTATTAGGATACAGCCACACTCATTTGTTTACTTATTGCCTATGGCTGCGTTTATGCTAAATGGCAGAGCTGAGTAATTGTGACAGAGACTTTATAGCTCACCAAGCCTTAAAGTACAGGAGTATGCAAAAGGAGGTTTATAGTTGTGAGTACGTGAAACACAGAATTTATTCTTGTATTATTATTTACTAATAATAGTATTATTTATTTGTATTACAACTGTAAACCTATTTTTGCCTGCCCCTGTATTTACTTTGCGGCCCTTTATGAAAAATAGCTGCCACCTGCTGATCTGTAATCCTCACCCACTCTTCCCCCACCACCATCTGAGATTTTTTGAAGCACATCTCAGACATCTTATCATTCTATCCATATTTTGTATATACTTCTTTAAAAAGTTATTTTATTATGCCCTGGCTGGTGTAGCTCAGTGGATTGAGCGTGGGCCTGCAAACCAGAGGATCGCAGTTTGATTCCCAGTCAGGGCACATGCCTGGGTTGCAGGCCAGGTCCCAGCAGGGGACACACAAGAGGCAACCATACATTGATATTTCTCTCCCTCTCTCCTTCCCTTCCCCTCTGAAGATAAATAAATAAAAAATCTTTTAAAAAGTTATTTTATTAAAAATAAAACCACTATAGCCATGGCTGGGTAGCAGTCAGAGCATCATCCTGATATGCCAAGGTTGCTCTCAGTGAGGGCACATATGAGAGTCAACCAGTGAATGCATGAATAAGTGGAACAACCAATTGATGTCTGTCTGTCTGTTTCTCTGTCTCTCCTCCCGTCCCGCTTCCTCTCTGTCTAAAATCAATAAATTTAAGAATTAAATAAAAAAATAAAATAAAACCACGACATTTGTTAACAGTATTTCCTTGCTATCTTCAGAGACCCAGTCTATAATCAGATTTCTCCACCTGTGCTACAAATTAATCATTAACTTTTAACAGGATGCATTGCACACTTGTACTTTGTGTATTTAACAGCACATCTGTTTAAAAGCAGAGGTAACTCTATACGTGTGTTTGTTGCTGCCTTGTAATGTCTCTGGTCTATAAGATATATAGGCCTTGACTTGGTGAACTTTTGGATGGAATCTAAATACGGTGTTTTATAAGGATGGCTGAGGTTTTACTCTTCTTTAAGGATTGAGGTGGGACACTAGATCCAGCTTTCTTATTTTCAGGGTAGTTTTAATGTTTTATTGGGAAAGAGCTTGACTCTACACCCCATGTAGCCTATTAGTTCTTCCTGAGTTTTATGCCCAGACCTGTGAGTCCCTGGCATGCACTTCTGCGATGTAATGGGGAACCCAGAGAAAACAGAATGCTTAAACTTTCATTGCTAGTTGGTGCGAGAAGTTCCACCCAGGGAAGTTTTACCATGGTGCAAGCGATCTGGAGACTACAGATGATCGCAGCAGACTGAGTCACCGAGGAGTGAGAATGAGCCACTGGATTCACTTTATCATAGCCACCTCCTTCTTTCAGATCCCTGGGACACTTGTCGGATGATGAGTTATTCTGTCCAGGAGCAAAAAATACTGGACCTGGAACTAAGGATAGGGGATAATTTGCACTTTAGTTACTGTTAGGCAGTGCTCAGAGTGGAGATGAGGAGGGAGAATGACCATCATAGAGCACAGGGTTGGGGAGGCCTCACAGAGGGAGGCAGATCAAACGTGGTCTTGTAGGAAAGGCTGGAGATGGACTTAAATAAGAAGAGGAAGGTGATCCAGGTTGGGGAACAGTGTGATTGGGAAAGGTATGGCTAAGGAACGATGTGTGGAGCAGTTTTGCTGGGGTGGAAGGTTCATGTAAAACAGAGATGCCCAAAGTGTGTTCAGTAAGGCTCGTGGGTTTGGTGGAGATGCCCCTGGAGCTGAAGAGTGTGAAAGGGGCCACCGGGCCTCCAACCACTGCTCTGTGGCTGTGATTCTGCATAAGGTTTCATCGGATATCAACGCTGAGATCATGCTGCTCAGAAGTTTGAAATTCACCACTACAGGGGACTTCTTACTTAACATGGGGATTGCAAATGTGTTTATTTCTATTCCTTCCTGAAAACTCACCAAAATGGCAATAAAAATATTAAAAAGTTATAAATCATCGGTGATAAAGGCATGGAAGAGAAGTAGCATACGGGAAATGTTAACCAAAGTTGAGTTGCTGATAGATAAATGGCAGAGCCAAGAAAGCTGAAACCCACACCTACAGTGTGGAGCGTCCACCGGGAAGCCAGCTGATTCACGCCGTGGAGCCCTGGAAAGCCTCAGCCATGGGAGACTTGGGGGGTGGGGGTGTGCCTGTGTAATAAAACCAGAAACCTGAAGTCAAGCTTTAAAATTTGTGCAGTTAAGAGTTAGATTCCTAGGCTGTCAACTCTCATTTGCATCCCTCTGTCACATGTGTGTGTAGATATATACACACCTGCACACACGTGCACACACGCATACCTCAACACAGCCCTGTGGCTACTGCTGGCATGAGAAGCAGAGCAGAGTGTGCCTGAGGGACAGAGCTGTAGCTGAAGGCAGGGATGAACTCAGGAAAAAGAGATGAAGTAGGGATGCTGTTCCCAGGCTAAAAATGGGAGAGGAGTTTTTTTGTTTATTTGTTTGTTTTGCTTGGGAAAGTGGCCAGTCTAAGGGAAAAGAGCTACAGATTGTTTTATTTAGGGGTCTTCTAATGAAACAGCTGACTGAAGCCACTGGTTGGCCAACCCCTACCTGGGCACACAGAGCTTCCATCCAGTGGGTAGTGGCTCACTTTTAAATGTGAATGAACAGCAGACAGAGAAAAAGGGACTTGGTGAAAACGATGTAGGGAGTGGAAAAAATACTTCAGAAAGTAAAACCAAATTATAATTTATATCCTCAAAGACTTGGGAGAAAATATGGCATCTGTGAGATGCCATAAGAACAGGAGACCATAAAACAAACCATGTAGGAAAAACATGGCATCTGTGAGATGCCAAATAAGAACAGGAGATCACAAAACAAAACCATGTAGGAAAAGCAAAAGCTTTTAGAAAGTAATATATGTGAAACAGCAGAAATTTGAAAGTTCAGTAGGATTGAAAGATAAAGTTGGAGCTAAGGAAATTGGAAGTTCAGTCTAGGATATTCAACATCTGCACAGTAGTTCTAGCAAGAAAAAAAAGAGGACAGCTAGAGAGTAGGAAATTATCGAAGAAAGAATAAAAGGAGGCTGACAGAACTGAAAGAGTATCCACATTCCAAGGGCCTGTCACATTCTGAGCCCAGAGAATGAACAAAGACCAAAGACCCACCCCAAGGCACATCCTATTGGAATTTCAGAATGCCAGGAGAACAGCTCGAAAGCTTCCAGAGCAAACAAACTGGGTACATGTCAAGGACCAGGAATTAAGAATGTCATCCTTCTTCTCAACATTATGACCCTTAAAAATCTGGTGAAAAATTATTTCCTGCCTAGAAATCAAGTTTTAGTTTTTACACAGAAGTGTGAAATTTGGACTAAAGGCTTCTTCAGACAGCCGGAGTTTCAAAAAATTAACTTTGGTGCATTCTTTCTCAGAAGCGACTACATGATTTACCCCACCAGGTAAGAGGGAACCAAGAAAGAGGTCATGAGATGAGGGCACAGGGGACTCATTCAGAGGCCAGAGAGGTTCCCAAGAGGAAGGTGCAGGAAGATAACTTAGGACAGTAATGTAGAGCAGGCCTGGAGGACACCTGTGTATGCTGGATGCAGGGTTCTGGGAGAGAGAGGCCGCCTGCCCCGTCAGGACCTTGGGGTGCATTAGTGACAGCTTCCAGAAAACCATGGAACACAAAACAAGACAGTTCTTAATTCCACAGGGGAAAATATATAAGTAACGAAATGTATTTATAGCATTCTACAAAGTCATAATACAAACTCTGAATACTGATTTTGTTGATTTTCTGTTTGGGGGGGTGAGGCAAGAGATGGCTTTGTGTGGATTAGGGGGTAGAATACAGTGACTAAATCCTCGTTTATAGTGGAAGGTCCATAAGTAATATCTGAATGGCAGAAGTCCAGAAATCATAGGATAAGCTTGTTACTTACAAATACAGATATGGGTAGTAGCAGAAGAAGCAGGCAAGAGTTGAAAGTGGTTGCTTCTGGGGAGCAGGAATCAGCACTGGGGAGAGGTAGGGCAAGAGACACTATTTTTCTTTATATACCCCTATAGTACCTTTGTTTTCTAAAAATATGTATATGCATATATGCACATACACATACACATGTGATTTCTTTGATGTAAAAAATAGATAAAAATCACTGGTTGAAAGGATTTATGATAAAGGCAGGAAGGTTCCAGATTATCGTGAGCCTTGACTACTAGCTAAACAGCATTGACTTGAGGGCAGTGGGGAATCAGTTGAAGTTCTGAGTGGGAGCGTAAGGGGTCAGCTTGGTATGGTTCTCCTGATGGCAGTTGATAGGCTGGACCAAGTGGGGAGGTTAGTTCTGTGATAGTTGGATATAGAAATGCAAGTCAAGGGCAGAGAGGTAACAAAATAGGAAGCTCTTGGGCCTATTGGTTTATTGACAGAAAAGGAAGAGTCAGGAATGATGGTGTGGTTTTACCCCTGGGAGGAGGACTGAAGACTGGGAACTACTTCTTTTCATCAAGTTCCTTTTTTGCGGGTTTAGGGAGAAAGTTGTGATGTTTAGTTTAATCCAAAGGGAGAGCAGGTCATGAAGGTCTGGCAGTCTCATGGGTGGAATCCAGACAGAATCTGGGAACTAGCCATGATGCTCGGAGATGCTTGCGGAGAAGCTATATCCAGGGAGGCTTTGAATTGAAAAGAATCATTGATGTGGTTGCAACAAAAGTCATCTGGGAGTTTAATGCTGAAAATTGAGGAGGATCCAAACTGAAGGATGATGGTTACTGGAGTAAGATAAGAATTCAGAGAAGATGAAAAGAGATGGTAGTCAGGGAACAAAGATACTCCAACAGTTTGGAATCATACAGTACAAATCTGTGTTGGGTTCTCTTTGCAGTGGGCTAATAATCCTAGTTTCTTCAGTGATGTCTCTTTTTGAAACCTCTTTCCTCTCTACCCTTTTGTACTTAAAATCGAAAATTTCAAGCATACACCAAATTTGAGAGAATAACAGAATGAATCCCTTTTAACCCTTACCTGCTTCTAACAATAACATTTTGATTCATCAGCTCTCCCAGGAAAGGGGGGCCAGTGAATTTTAAAGCAAATCCCAGACATCATATCCTTTGATCCATGAATATGTCACATATGTCTCTCATGGATTGGGTGTGTTTTATTTTTAATAACCAAAATACTATTATCCCACACAACAAAATTATCACTATTTCCTTATTTCATATTATACCCAGTCCACATGTCATTTTTTCCAGTTGTCTTACAAGACAACTTGTTTTTATACTTGATCTGTTTGAGTCAGATCCAAACTCAAGATCAAAACATTGCTTTTGGCTGATATGTTTCATAAGTCTCTCAACCAATAAGTTCCCCCACCCTTTCTTATTTTTTTCAGGCCATTTATTTGTTGAAGATCCTGGGCATTTGTCTTGTAGTTTCTTGTAGTCTGGACTTGGCCGATTGTGACCTTGTGGTGCTGTGTAATATGCTTCTCTGTCTCTCGTCTTTCCTGTAAGCTGGTAGTTAGATATGGAGGCTTGATTAGATTCAAATTCACCTTTAAAGTTGACAGATTAAGATAATTTGCATGCAGTGAAATATTTCAGTACTGTTTACAAAACTCAGTACTGTTTGCTGAGTTTTGACAATGCATATGCTCGTGTAACCCACACCCCATCAAAAGGTAAAACATTCCGTCACCCCATGAAGGCTCCTTGTGCATGTGAAAGCACAGTTAAATCTATGAAGCATGGCTGAGGTTTTTACCATCTACTCTAGCCCTTCCTTGCCCATGGGTGTTTTAGGACCAACTTTGGAAGGGTTGTTACTCACTAAAGACAGCGTGGAGATTCTTGCTATTATTTACACCAACCTTCCCATGCAGCATGTTTCCACTGGCACCTTATATCAGGATCATTTCAGTTGCCAGTGAAAAAACGTGGGATCCAAATCTAGGCTTAAACAGTGAAGTGAATTTATTGGCTCATTTAACAAAATTCTAGATGTAGGTCCTGGTTTCAAGTGAAGCCTGAACTGATGGCTCAGTGATATCACCAAGGGGCTGGATTTTTATCCTCCTTTCTGCTCTGCCATCCACTGGGTCAACTTCATATTGTATTTGGGTCCAAGATGCAAGCCAGTCACTCCCAGGACTGCACGCTTTCTCAGTCAAGAAAGAGACACTGTTTTTCTAAGAATTGCTAGCAAAATTCCCAAGGTTTACCGAAAGACCAGCATTTGCCCACTTCTGATCCAGTCAGCAGTTCAGCTTCTAGGTCGATGTAGAGTCACCCTCCCCAGAACAATATAGATGGCCTAAATGGACATCAGGAGCTAGTGGTAAGGAGGGATTGGTTTCTAAGGATGCAATCATCTAAGGCTTCCAGGGGTGTCCAACCTGTGGCACCAGGGTTGCATGTGGCCCAGGACGGCTATGAATGCAGCCCAACAGTAATTCATCAGTTTACTTAAAACCTTTTTATTTTGTTCATCAGTTTTTGTTAGTGTTCGTGTATATAATGTGTGGTCCAAGACAACACTTCTTCCTCCATTGTGGCCCAGAGACACCAAAAGATTGGACACCTCTGGAAGCCCCAGAAGCCTCCATGATTGGGGCCTGCCTTGCTGTGCTTCACCGGAGCAGCCAAGCTCCTATGCCAGATGCCAGTTCATCCCTGCTTGGCCTATCCTTGTCAGCCATGCTGAGATTTTGCTAGAATTTGAAGGGAGGGGTGGGGTGGTCACTTTGTTCATGCTAAGCTTAATGTTTCCAGCTGGGAGAAACGCACAGACCCTCGAGGCAGGTTTTACTATGTGGACCACAACACTCGGACCACCACCTGGCAGCGCCCCACAGCCGAGTATGTGCGGAACTATGAGCAGTGGCAGTCGCAGCGGAATCAGCTCCAGGGCGCCATGCAGCACTTCAGCCAAAGATTCCTCTACCAGGTGAGAGGGCAGAACGTGCAGCCTTGCATCATCTCCACTGACCTGTTTGGTGAGCAGGGAAAATGTCAGTACTCTAACCCTGGAGATTTTACTCATCACAGTGAACTTCCTCCAACTCCAGTGTTTCTAACTTAGGAACTCAAGGCCCAGCCTCTGTGTCTGTCTAAGGACTCAGTAGTCTGCAACTAAATTCACCATCTTTTTTCTAGCACTGGATTTCTCTTCTGGCCATTCCTTCCAAGTCCATTAACCCTGACTTGAAACCTGAAGGTCAGCTGTGACTTCCCCTGTAACTCAACTTTTTAAATCAAAGCAGCCACACAGATCCTTCTCTTTCCACTGCTATTGTGTTTCTGTAGGACTTTATTATCTGACAGATACCCAAGGGATGGCCAGTGGGCCAAACTGGCCCATGCCTGATTTTGGAAATAAAGGTTATTGGCACATACACATGCCTTGTAGTTTAGCAATTGACTGTGGCTGCTTTCACACTGTCATAGAAGAGTTAAGTAGTCACATCAGGGACTCTACCCCATAAAGCCTAAGATATTTACTGTCCGAACCTCTGGCCTAGGTCAGCCTCCTGCTATCTGATTGCAGATTTTTCTTTGCCCCTCCCAGATGAATGGTTAGGATGAACAATTCAGCTTCTGAATTGTTCTCTCTGCTAGGGTTCTTTCTCCTCCAGTCCATACTTCCTGTGCCCACCAAAGCGACTGCTCCGATATTTTCAGATATCATTGTCATTTTATCATTTAAAAAAGTCACTGAGGAGGGTTTAAGGAAAGTGGGGGTTGCTCTACATTTATTACTGTCATTTTTATTACTGGCTCAAAAACTTCTGTGGTCGTTACTTACAGAATAGCATTTATATCTTCTTCAGGATTCAGAATGCTGAGGTCCTCAACTGTCTAACCATTTCCCATACTGTGAGCCCTCTTAGCACCTTTTTCCTGAGTCTCCATTCCATTAGAACCTCCACCAGTAACCTGGTAGTTGGGGCAGCCCAACCACACAGCCTCTTTGGAAGGAAGAGGGGTGATTCCCAACCTGGAACTCTGATTGCATTTTCTCAGAGCACCTTGAACATGAAGCTTGTGATCTGCACAAGATGTGGTGGGTTGGAGGTTGGAAATATTTTGAGCTGGTTCACAATATTTAATCACCATGATTAATCCACATTGTTTCTATTTGAAATGAATTTTAACCCCACAATTCATTTCTAAATCAGATACTACCCTAGTTTGATGCTCAGAAAATCTTTTAATTCCATTTAAATAAGTAGAGTTTATTATCAGCTTTGCCTGCCTTTGCAGCTCTTTCTCTGCTCTCCCAAAGCAGAAGCTCCACCATCAGCCATAAGGCGAGGTGACATCTTCCTGGGCTGGCTTGTCCCCTCTTCTGTCTGGGGGCTAATTGCTCATCACATAGTGAGAAAACTGCTGAGGACCTCAGTTTCCTTACTGTGGACGAGCAGAAAGCACGATATTTGTGATACTGAGTTGCCTCCAACAAAGAGCAGCAGTAATGGCCTTGTGGTCTCCCAGGTGCAGCACTGCTTATGTTCTATACCAGGCCTTTAATTCCACAACCCCTTTCATAGAAACCTGGCATCCGGTTCTAGCCTGCTTCAAAATTAGCTGGGCTCTGCTCATTTTCTGCATTTCAGAACTTGTTCTTCTTGAGCTGGGCCCCAAAGACATTACCTGCCATTTTCTTGGGTGGTTGTGGCTTGCAAACTGGGAAGATCTGGGCATCTTTGTCCTTTGGTTTAGAGACAGGGACACATTTTAGGAGTCTCACATGGTTCTGTCTCCTTGCTTACTCAGCTTCTCAAATTAAGAAAGAATCCATTAAAGCAATTTTTTTTCTTCTGTACCATGTACCAAGTAGGTTCTGTAGGTTGACTGAGGCGTTTGGTGTGTGAGAGGGAAGATTCTGGAGTTTGTGTTCACTTGGTCTTTTGGCATATTCATTCCACGTACCTGCCTCTCTCATTTCAGCATGGGCCTGCTGCATCATTCTGGGCCTGCAGAGGAAGAACTTTGACTTGGAAGAGTTTTGACTAGAAGTAAAAATTAAGTGCTAAAAATTTTCTCCTGATGAGATCCCATTTGTTTATTCTTTCCTTTATGGAATTCTATGTAGCAGAAAGAAAGAAGGAGCTCCTACCCTTTGCAACAGCGTGGATGGAACTGGAAAGCATTATGCTAAGTGAAATAAGGCAGGCGGTGAAAGACAAATACCATATGGTCTCACCTTTAACAGGAACCTAATCAACAAAACAAACAAACAAGCAAAATATAACCAAAGACACTGAGATTGAGAACAGGCTGACAGTGACCAGAATGGAGAGGGGAGGGAATTTCAGGGGAAAGGTTAAGGTTTGCAGGAACAAGTATAAATGACACATGGGCAATTATAAAGCAGGAGGGCAGGGTGTGGAAACAGGAGGGAGGTGGGGAGAGGGGGGGTTAGGTTGGGGTAGGGGGAAAGGCAGAAAACTGTACTTGAACAACAATTAAAATTAAAAAAAATTAAGAATAAAGCTACCTTATGACTCAGAAAAAAATTTTCTCCCTGAGTCTTCTAATACGGTTTTCTCAGCTTTGGTTGGGGATTCAGGAGGCTCTAGATAGAGGCAGTGGTTCTCTTTTCTCCCTGAAACAAAACTCATACTGAAGAACCTGGAGGGATTCTTATCTGTGTCAGATTTCAGTGTCTCTCTGTTGAATTACCTCCCAACCGGGTTTGGTTTGCCCTCTCATTTGCTATGGTGCCATGGCCTGGTTACAAGAAGAGTCGCTTTCATAGAGTTATTTTGGGGTTTGGCGTTGGCCCAGGATTTGACTTGGTAGACTTAAAGGGCTGATACTATACCAGCGGCTTCCCCTTCTCCTCCTCCTGCAGGGCTGAAAGCAAGACCTGCTCTTTGCTGTCCTGCAGAGAACACAAAATACAGTTCGAAATGGAAACCAAGGGAATCCCAGATTGCAGACTCCTGCAGTTCCTTCCTGCTGTCTGCCTCAACACATACCTTTTTCAATCTGCTATTGTTCCCTTATTTCTGACATGATTTTCTTTCCTAACTGTCCCTGGCCCCCGGTGCCTTTGTTGCTTGTGATCGTAATGCACACACTTGTGTTCACCTGTGCATTTTCACTCTGCCCTCTGTTCTGGGTTTCCACTGTGGCCCACCAAGGATGCCTGGCCTGGCTGTGCGCATTGTGTATTGGGACAGGACCCGTCTCAAGCTACCACTATTTCTGTGACACCTTTTCCTTTACTCCCACTTTGGTCCTCTCTTAATAACTGAAGGAGCTATCTAATGCTGGCAGGACTGAAGCAAATCATTTTGTGGCTGCTGTTGTGAGGACACCAAATTGCATTATCCAGAAATAGACAGCTTGGTCTTAATCTGAGGAGGGCCCCGCTGGATTGAATTCTCAAGTACCTGAGTTCTATTCTGCACCTACTGGGTGTATCCTTTTAGAAAAAAAGGAGTCTGCCTCCCACACTGTAACCTTTATGCCCTTCCCAGAGCCTTCTTGCCCTCAGTTGTATTTGCTAGACATTCTTCATTTCTGAGTTTGTATCTTAAAATATTACTGGAACTTAGTGCTTAGTCCCTGAGGGACTTGAACTCACGTGGGCTGTCTGGCCCATAGCCTGTAAGCCAGATCTCCCAATCCAAGGACACTTAACAAAAAAATTATTCAACAGAGTTCCTTTCTTTTCATTTATTACAAGACAGTAATAAATGAAACTGTCTTGTCTGTTAGAGTCACTTGCACATCCTAGGATCTCTCTTCTGACTGTAATCCCTCCATGCCCTTTTCTTTGTGCCGTTCTGACATTGTGCCAGATAACACTGGGGAATCCCTCACTTCAGGGAAATGTGGTTGCAGAGACGGGGCATTTGGTTGGCTCATTAGCGATGTTGGATTTTCTGGCCATGATGTGTAGCTTTTATTTTTGTTTCTCCTTGGCTCTGTCAACTTTCTTTTCTTGTTTTTCAAGTTGTACTATGTACATTAGGGAAGAAAAATAGTCAAGCACTTTGCTTTAACTCTAAGAGGTAAAATCCTTGTGAGTGTTGGCTTCCAGTGACTCCATTTCATGTGCTCATGTTTATTAATCTCTAGTCTCTGCCCCTTACCTCTCAGCTTCCTCTTCTCTCTTTTTACAGGTGTTGGGGGTATGAAGTTTGTGACATTGAAAAGTTGAGGATTAAGAAAAGGGCTGGCCCTGGCTGGTCTGGCTCGGTTGGAGCATTGTCCTGTGACTGGTTTAGTTCCTGGTCAGGGCACATGCCTGGGTCACGGGTTAAATACCCAGTCCAGGCACATACAGTCTGTTGTCCAGGTGCATATGGGAGGCAGCTGATCGATGCTTCTCTCTCACATTGATGTTTCTCTCTCTTTGTTCTTCTTTCTCTAAAATGCAATGAAAAAGTAACCTTGGTGAGGATAAAAAAAAAAGGACTGATAATTCCTTTTTAATCTTCTGTATTTTGTGTACTAGTCTAAGTTCATTTTGATAAATAATAGAAACTCACTTGGTTACACTAAAGCAGAAAAAAAATTTATCAAATGCTAATTAACAGAACTAACAATGATGAAGAACCGAACTCCGGCAAGAAAACCAGGTGTAGGCAAGGAAAAGGAACAGTTTGCATAGGACATTGCCCCGTCCTTCTGCCATTAAACACTTGACGTTCCAATGGGCTGTGGGCTCTGCTGCAGTAGTGAGGAGTCTCCAGCAGCCCCCATGCTCTCATGCCAGTCCCTGCAAGTTCAGTGTGGAGCATTGCATTGGCTGTTCCTAAGTCGTGTGCCTACACTCTAGATGCCATGGTATTGGGAGGGAATATTTGCTAGTTGATAAAGATTTTTGTTTGTAGCTTAATGCCGGTCACAGAGACCGTCAGTAAAGACGTTTGGTCTGTTGATTTGTATGGTTAAGCAAAAGATGCCTGTTGGTCCACTGAAACCCAGTTGGTACCAGTTGGGAGCTAATTTAACATTGGAGCTACTGAATGCTTTGTGGATTGTCCACTCATTCCAAAAAAGACCTGAAGCAACAAACAATTTTGGACCAAATACCTCTCTTAAATTCTTAAAATGACCTTTTCTGTAGTTCTTCCCTTCTGCAAGGACATTGCTACAGCTAGGTACTTACCCCACGGCATTGTATTTGGTGCCATTGTCTGAAATGCATGCATGTTTCACATGTTAGGTCCTTTCTGTTTTCAAATGCTTCTGTACCTACTATATCTCTGAGTGAACTACAAAACAAACTTGGAGGAACTTGGATTTTGTGAAATGCTGCACCCCACCCCAACAAAATGACGCCTGTGAAGTTGGGAGATCTTTTTGAGTAACCATCAGACAAACCTGAGTTGTGGTGGACATTGAGCACGTCCTCCATGTTACATTGATAGTGACATGCTCACAGTCGAGGACACCCCAGCTTCCCACACCTTGGTGCTGTTTCATTCTGCTGGGTTGGAGGCCCCTTGCTGAAAGGGGCTCTGTCCCATCAAGGAACGTATGGTTTTAAGACTTAAACGTCTTTGTTGGAACTTGCTTTGGAAGAGTTGCTTGTGCTGCCACCTTGGAAAGAAAGTTTCTCTGTACTTTCAGCTGGGGGTGGAGGGCGGCCGTGAAAGGGGGTTCGTTGGCAGTAGAGTTCCACCAATGTTTTCTCAAGCCGAGACTGAGCCCCATTCATCCTCATGCCTGTGTGTGGCTCCAAAGGGGCCAGCCAGGCAGCTCGAAGTCTGCATTGAGAACTTGATCCCCTAATGTAACGATTAAATTTTAGTAAGTGAAATAAAAATGTTTCAGAAAAAGAGAGAGAGGGAGAGAGAAAGAAAGAAAGTGCAGAACAATACTTGTTTTATTTAACCATGAAGAGTTTCTGACAGCAGCCCCCTTCCCCACAGGATATGAGAACTCTTGGTCCACTGCAGCCCTCCTGCCCCAGGGACCTCGCAGCAGAATTAGGTGTGGGGGGGGATTTTAATGTAAACAGAGACCCTGAAGTCCTGGAGTCAGCTCCCCCTTCCTTCTCCTGTCTCCCCTTCTCTCTTGCCACCTCACCCCCAGCCCCACCTCTCCAGACAGGCACATACAGAACACTGAGCAACTTCAGGTTCAGGCTGGAGGAGAATAAAGGTGCTTTGTGAAGGGAAGCAAAACATTCCTGGGGGAGGTGAGGGGCCTGGGGCATGAATGTGCCCTCAGTCTGGGCTGATGCTGCACACCCTGCTTCGTCTCCTAGCGCACCCAGGAGGGAGGTGGAGGGAGGAGGGCCCAGCCCCCAGCCAGGAAGCTCTGGGCGTGGGCAGGGCTTGTGGGAATGATTTCATTGGAAAGGCCTGCAATATTTTTTCCCCTCCCGTGTGTGGTTCTTGGAGAAAGTTGGAGGTGGTGGTGATTTCAGTCGCCTTGGCCGCGGGGAGCAGGAGCTGAGCAGAGGCACACGGCTGAGCATGCAGGCAGTCCAGCTCTGGGCCCTTCCGCCATGCCTGCCGCCGGCCGCTGCTTTCCGGGCTCGGCCCACCTTCATCTGCGCACCTCTTCCTCCCCTCACTCAACCCCTCTCCAAAACCTATTTGGATCCTCAGTGCGCAGGGTTCTTTTTCAGTTTTTCTTTTTCTGGAAAAGACTTTTGAGGGGAGCAGATGCCACCTAAGACCCCACAAGTCTCCTCTAAAAAGAGCCCAAATGTGGAAATGAATTGTTGGTATTTTTAACTTTATCTATCAGTGTATTTTTAACCAGCAGCTTTTTTTAACCTCTGTGTTCTGCTGTGTTTCTTGTGTTTAGTCTTCGAGTGCTTCAACCGACCATGACCCACTGGGCCCCCTCCCTCCTGGCTGGGGTAAGTACTGAGACCTACCTACTCTGTGCCCTCAGCGTCCCTCAGCTGATAACTCCCCCATGCCTGTCCTTTCCCTGCGAGTCTTCCTCACGCCCCCTCCCTCAATCTTTCTTTTCACTTCTCTCCCGCACACTCTCTGGGGATGCCCAGCCAGAGCAGTGAATTTGCAGGCAGTGGAGCCAGAGGCTGGGAAAGCAGTGAAGTTCCCCTGAGCTGCTGTAGCATCACCTGCCATAGCTGAAGGACGGTGTCCCTATGAAAGAAGTCCCCAAGTGGCTGTGGTACTGTTGGGTTTTTGTCCTGACTTTCAAGGTCTCTACCCAACCATCATCCTAGCAATAAGACATTTTGATGCTGGCTGCGTTTGTTTTAGGTCTGTGGCTATGTGATTGAAAGGAGCCACTTTACCAAACCTTTCTTTACAGCCGAGATGTTGGAGGACTTCAGCCTAATTTTGACTAATGGAAGCCACGTTTTTGGTGGCAGGGGACACAGCTGTGAAATGGCCAGAGGCAAGCCTGCTGAGCACTGGGTGGCGACTCCGTGAAAGTACATCATTGCTAGTTAATAACATCACGCTGAATTCTCCTTGTCATTGGCAGCTGCCTCTTACTTATTTTCAGCCCCTGGTGTGATTTGCAAGAATGAGTTAGGGAGATGGACATCTATGACTTGAGGGGAACCACAGAATTTATGGCTATTCCGGGAAGGAGCAGCCTTGCAGAAAGGGGTCTTTCTTTAGAGATGGTGAGACTCAGTGCTTCCTATAGCTCTCTGAGGGGGGTCAGGCTTTTGTTCAATAGGCCAGAGTTCCTGGAGCTAAAGAGGGCCATTTTTGCTGGAATTGGCACATGTCGGGTTAATGGATTGGTCAGGCCAGAAGAAGGCAGTAAGTGCCGGTTTGGTGGTGTTCACAGATGGTATTAAGTTGGGTGGGGATGTGCTCCCCAGAGAAGATGGAGAAGTTGACAATGATAGGATGAGCGTCTGATCCTCTTGGTGCAGACACAACTACTCCCTGGTAGTAATTTATGAGGTTGCGTCAACCCCTTTGGGCCTGCAGGGTATAACTTAGTGAATCACCACTGTGTTCCAGGGCACTGGCAGGACCTCCTAGTCTTCTAGTGGGATAGATCAGTTAGGGAGGCCTTCACACAATTTTTGATTTTCTGCTGGGGAATCCCTCACGCATGCATAGGATCCGCCTTGCTCCCTTAGCTGATGAAAGGTCATTGCAGCCTCAGAGATGGGCGGCAAGTGAGATGTGAGAGAGTCCAACATAGGACCCCTGTCTAATTGGGGGCAGACTCAACAAACTAAACCAGAAGCTGTACTGCTGTTGGGCAGCCAGTGGATGCTGTGACCTAGAGTGGGGGACCCGGAGTTGTGCCTTTCTCTGCAGTCAAGCAATGGATGTCTGTCCCGGTTTTGCTAAGTGGTGATCACCAAATAGGAACAACTATAAGGACTTGTCAACAGCTCCCAGAAGCCAAGTGTGAACTATTCGAGGTGGGAATAGGAGCCATGGTTGTCGTCAGTGCTGTTCATGGGGGATGGGGAAAACACACAGAACGATAATGGTATGTGACTAGGAAGAAAGAACATCTGGCTGAGCACCAGGGAACTTCCTAATCAAGTCCTTTGTGTTTTGTGTTGGCTTCTCCAGGGCCGGTGCAGGGCCACCTCCCTAGGGAGAATTAAGATTGAACAGAAAAAGCAGCGAAACTAAATAAGAATCACATTGAGCTTGAGCCTGCTGTCAGGTCTAGTGTGTTCTTCTGCTCAGTCCTGTGTCCCTTTTAGTTCCTCCATGAGAGATTCCATGGTCCCTCCTCAGCATCAGCTCAGAGGTTAGGACATCTCACTTTACATCCACATCTCCTCAGCTGCCCTCACCCTGGGCACATAACTGAATGTTTCTGAGTCCATTTCTTCCTGAATGAGGTTGAGCTAGATGCTCTTAAGGACTCTCCCAGCCCCCAAACTGTGACACTATGTGCAGCAAAGCAGTTCCAGTGGACCACGAGAGCCTCCGCCCCCACCGCCCTGTGCAGGGAGCAGTGCCAGAAACCAGGCGCAGGCCCGAGACCAGCCGGACAGATCCCCCAGCCTGGCGGTTAGCGTTGGCATGGCCCTTGGCAGAGCAGATGTGGAAGATCTAGTTCAAAGCAGAAGCTTCTGGCTGGGGGCAGCCCCTCTCCCCCTCAGATCCCTCTTGGGAAGCCTGCCTTCTGTGGGACAGCCCCATAGCTGTTTGGAGGTGGTGGTAGCTCTGTAGCAATACTGGGCACCTTCTTTTTATTCTTTCCCTTTGTTTGCACTTTTAAAATGTTCATTGAGTAATGGGTACCGGGTAAGGTAGACAGAGACCCAGCCCCTGGGTTGATAACTGAAAATGTTGCAGCCTGATACTGAAGCAATGGGGCTGGGCCCCCCAGTTCTGCTTGTTTTCAGTTTTTGGTTTCCCTGTAGCTTCTGGAACATGTTATTTCTGTTTCTTCAGTTTTGCTCTGTCATCATCAGTGAGAGATGGCCATTAGCATTATCTGTTTTTAAGAGAGAAACAGATTTAAAGGCTCAGGAACTTCTTGGGAAAGGTGGCCTGTCTTGGATTCAGAACCTTGTCCTTAGTTTTGCTTTCCATCCACCCAGAGCTCATGGGGTGACTCCGTTAACCTCTTTCAAGGTCCGAATCCCCAGGTAGAATTGGGTCTGCCCCTGAAGCCTGGACTCCCTTCCTAGAGGACACCAGAGCCACTGTCAGTGCACCTCGTAAAGGTGGTCCAGAGAGCAAAGGTGGTGCAGAGGAGAGCGGACGTGCCTGGGCTCCCCACACACTGCTCTGTCTGGAAGCACACACTTAAGTGTAAGAACAAGAGGGGTGTTGGAAGTGGCACTGTCCTTGGCATTTATTTGCATATCTGCAAATGTAGAGCTTTTGCTGGGATGTGCCAGTTTTAGAACAAAACTTTGTGTATAAACAGGGGAAAAAAGAGGTGAAGTACATGGTATGTAGGCTCTGAGTGCTGATCAGAGAGGTATGAGGGAAAACACCACCCTCACAGGGGCCTGCGTCACTGCATCCCTTGGGCAAAGTGGTGGCGGGACCAGAGACCAGCTGTCACCGACTTGGTGGGGGTCAGGGCTTGCGGGGAGGCCGCCTGCGCCTCCACTTTGCACACAGCTGGATGCAGTTACGCCTCTGGTTCCAGCTGGGCTGCTCCCCCTCCATGTTGCCACACTGCCCCCCTCCCTCCAACAAACCAACCAGCCAACCAAAGACAGTGCTGGATCCTGAGTTAGAAATGTATCTGTCCCTCCCCCACTCCCCAATAGGGAAAGATTCTCTTTGTCTGTTTTTGCCAGTGACAGATGTGTGTGCATGCTGGGCTTTCACTGGTTAAACTTCTCTACCGGGTTAAGAACAGGGCCAGAAAGTCAGACCCAGCACATGGAAAGGGGCACCCAGAAAGGAGAGAACATGGCTCAAGATGTCTCAATCTGATTGTCCTATTTTCCTACTTCTCCCTGGCAGAGAAGAGACAGGACAACGGACGGGTGTATTACGTGAACCATAACACACGTACTACCCAGTGGGAGGACCCTCGGACCCAGGGGTAAGGACTTGGGCTGGGAGGGGGCCGGGCCCTGTGCAGCTCTGGCATCAGCTGAGTGTTCTTGGACTGCATTTATCCTCTGTGGCCACACAAGTGCCTGGAGACCCTCATGACACAGCTTTAAAGTGACTGCTTAAGTTAACCTTCCTGGTAGGTGGAGAGTGGCCTGAAGGGTCTCTGTGCCAATTGTGCAAGCTGCTGAGAGCGTGATTTCACCCTGTACTCCGCTCAGCCTCCCAGAAGCTAGTCTGGACTAGGGCAGTTGGTGCTTCAGGATTGCTGGTGGCCGTTCTGTTCATGGCCATGGCCACCTAGGGCTGGTTCCTTGGCCTTAGGACAGTAAATGACCTCTCTCTTCTGTAGAACAGTTCTCATGACTTAAGTGTACCAGCTACATTTCCTCAAGGCCCATGCCTTTCCTCAAAGGCTTTACAGAGCCTGGTGAAAGCAGAGCAGAAGGAGCACAGTGGGGACTCCAGCCTCCTACGCACTGAGGCCTGGAAGGTGAGGCTAGTTCTTAACCCCTCTTCCCATGTCTCCAGGATGATCCAGGAGCCCGCTCTGCCCCCAGGATGGGAGATGAAGTACACCAGTGAGGGGGTGCGCTACTTTGTGGACCATAATACCCGCACCACCACCTTTAAGGATCCTCGCCCAGGGTTCGAGTCAGGGTAAGGACTTTGCACAGGCAGCAGCAGTGTCTAGCAGCACCTGAGTTTATCTGCTTTCAACTGCACTTACTGCCCTCTAGTGGCCAATTTTCATGTCATGTTAGCAGGATTGGGGAGGGAAGGGGCCACCCTGTTTATTCAGAGTAACATCAGTGGTGTCTCTCTCTTTCTGTCTCTCTCTGTCAAAGCAAAAGTCTGGCTTTATTTCTAGTTTTTCTTTTTACTTCTTAAATCTGACAAAGATTTTAATGGCAGTCCCTCTCTTTTTTTTTATTTCTTACTCATCTGTAATATAATGCCAGCTTTCTGAAGGGCTAACAGGTACCTTGATAATTTTTGAGAAATCACACAGATTCCAGATTATCTTTGCTCTTCCCAGGACGAAGCAAGGTTCCCCGGGTGCCTATGACCGAAGTTTTCGGTGGAAATATCACCAGTTCCGTTTCCTCTGCCATGTGAGTTCTGGTGCCAGGCCGCCCCTGCGGGTTGGAGTTTCGGAGTTATTTCAGTGCGATTTCCCAGCCCAGCAGCAGTTTGGCAGGTGGGGGACGGTTACTGTTGGACGTTGTCTCCAGGAAGCCCGTTCCTGTGTCTAGGAACCAAGCTCTTCGGTCAGCCCAGGATAGAGGAGGCCAGACTGAATAATTACCTCCTAAGGTCTGAATCAAGGTTTTTTTTTTCTTTTCTTTTTAGTCAAATGCCCTCCCAAGCCACGTGAAGATCAGCGTTTCCAGGCAGACACTTTTTGAAGATTCTTTCCAACAGGTTAGAAAATAATTATGTTGTCTTAGACCAGAGGCAGGCAGAGGCCCCCCTGCTGTCACCCTGTCTTCCATTATGTGGTCTGCTGAACCCACACAGCAGAGTGTCCAAGATCTGGGCCTTGGGGAGCGCTGTCCGCTAAAAAGCATACCCTGGAGCCCCCTCAGCCTGCTGTGGAAGGCAGAGTGGTAGGCTGGCCACAATGCTGTGTCTCCCCAGATCATGAACATGAAGCCCTATGACCTGCGCCGCCGGCTCTACATCATCATGCGTGGCGAGGAGGGCCTTGACTACGGGGGAATTGCCAGGTGAGCTTGGCACCCCGGGAAGGCTGTGCGGCACCCCACTTCTCCAGGCTATTGGGCACGTGGCCAGAAAGCTGTCTCCTCCTTGCTCAGATTAATTGCCAGTGCTCTTATGCTTCTTCGGAAATGAGCACGGGTATGGCCAGTTCGAATGGCGCAGGAGCAGGGTCCTAGGGTCCCCTGCTGGGCTGGGCACTAACCATGTAGTTATGGATCACGGGGAGGCTGGGGGCCCGAGGGGGAGGGTTCAGGACAATGGCTGTTTTACCAACCAATATGTCATTATTTTTATACTTTAATAACCAGTCTGGCTACACCGTGGGCAGTGGTTAAATATTGGAGTCATGTGGTTGTTTATTAAAATCAGCCCTGGGCTTCTTCTAGTCTTAAGGCAGCTGGGGAACATTATGTTGAGCATCTTGGTGTGCACCTCACAGGTATATGCTGTGTCACAGTCCAAAGGGCCTTGATCAGTACTCAGCTGCATGTCATGGGCACAGGGTCAATAAAATTCAAACAGCTGTTGCAACCCTAAAAAGAGACCAAAGCACTGCCTTGCCTTCAACACAGTCCCCCTACAAAAGTTACAGACTCTGGCAAAACGTTGCCTTGGACAGTGGAGCTGAAGGGCCCCTGGCAGAGAGAAGGTGTATCTTACACAAAGGTGATCGCTCAGTTCACTCACCTCTCATGGAGTGGGGACATCTCGCTTGGTGTTGGGTTAACTTGCTGCTGGCCCGCTGTTCGTTGGTGGCTTTGCTCTCTGTGTTGGCCCTGGTGGATCGATGGCTCTTTCTCCCATGGTGACCGTGGTGACCTCCTCTCCAGGCTCTGCTTGGTGGGCTTCTGGTGTGGCTCCTGCCCTGTGTGTGTCTGTCTCTCTGTGTCCTGCCAGTGGTTTTACCCTATGGTAGGTTACGTCATGCTGTTCTACCACAGGGTAGAACCACGGACAGGATACCGGGGCACCCTCTGCATCGAAGGACTCCTCGTCTGCCCGGCCACAAACAGCCCAGCAGCCAGGGACTGGCCCCATTGGGATGTCTCCCTGCTGGTTTAAGTGAAGCCTAAAAGGACTCTGAATTCTGGTTGGAGGCTTATTCCTAGGGTGCAAAGAGATCCAAAGGTGTGGGTGTTGGTTCAGATGAATCTGTGGAACTATGAGAAAAGTTCTGGTAATGAGGTCTGGAGTGAGGGGAGGGCAGAGTGCAAGGGAGGTAAGATGCCTGCAGCAGGAGTGAGGTTTATAATCTACAGACTGCATGGTTTACAGAGTTCATGCATCAGAAGTTAGGAATGTATTACCATATATTCATTCATATTATGCTGCTTGTTCAGGTATGGTGGAAGCAGTGTGGCTGCTCTTTATATAGTACCTTTGGGAGATTTAGAAAAAGATACTCTTTGTCAAGATATTTTCATGTTGGAAAATGTTCACAATATTCTGGCTTTATCAGGAAAAAACAGCTTGGCTGCTAGTTGCAGGAAAATTGTTACAATAAATGTGCAAATCAGTGATATTTTACCATAGTACCCTTCTGTAGTGCACAGCCTACACAACTGTACATGGTGGCCTCAGGGTGCAAGGAGCCCCTTTGCCATTAAGACGTTCTGGATATCAGATGTAAAGTCCTGCAATGCACCCACCACCTGGGAGCTGACACGCATGCACGCTTTCCTGAGTGTCATCGTCGAGTGCCACTGTTGTCCTCCTTCACCCTCCTCTGGCCCCACCCTGTTCCCTGAACAGCTGTGAATACAGGTTAGCCCTGGTGCTGATCTGGGGCGGGTAGACTCCCCAGGACATGAGTCTCCAAAATAGCTGAAGCAGGATGGCAGAGGAGAGCAGCGCCTCCAGTGCAGGTGTGCAGGGGAGGGTCCATTGGTCCTGTTTTTCTCTCCCTTCTCTCACAGAGAGTGGTTTTTCCTCTTGTCCCACGAGGTGCTCAACCCCATGTATTGTTTATTTGAATATGCCGGGAAGAACAATTACTGCCTGCAGATCAACCCTGCCTCCTCCATCAACCCCGACCACCTCACCTACTTCCGCTTTATTGGCAGATTCATTGCCATGGTAAGATTCTTTGCTGTGTGTCCTCCAGGGAGGGTGGCAGCCGAGGAGGCCAGAATCTACAACACCAGTAGCAGCCCCACCCTTATCTTCACAGAACTCCTAACTGAAAATGCAAAAAGCTAGAGAGGGTTCTGGAGATAGTTCAGAGTTCTCTCAATGTCCACCCAGGGGCCTGGTGAGGGTTTCTGCATGTTGATTTGTGGAGGACTTGTTGAGAGAAAACCCATGGTCTCTGAGTCATGGGCTTCACTTAACATTCACAGGTGCTCTGTCGAGGGTATTGGGGTGACGGGGCTGAGCACTAGCATAACTGCCCACCTGATGCCCATCTCTTGGGGGTGCCACTATCTGTCACAGGGTTGGGACATTTGGGAGTGTCCTACTGTGGCACATTTGGGAGTGTCCTACTGTGGCTGTCAGGGGATTTGGAATCTGCACTAGCTTAAAACAGAGCCCTTGCAGACCAGCTGGTGGACGACGTGGGAGGCATTCGTCAGGAGCTGGGTGAAGTCGGGAAGGGGTAGTTTCACACGTTATCTGCATTTATCTGGAAATAGGAACATAATGTGAATAGGGAAGGGGTCACATCGCATGCATCCTGTTGTGTATCTCCTGAGTGTGGAGAATCAGAACTGAGGACAGGAGCCCATGGGAGCCACAGTGCCACTGCCATATTTGGTAGTTTGAGATGTTTCACTTCTAACTTTCCTTTGCTTTTCCCCGTTCCTCTCTCAGGAGTACCCAGGGCCCAAGATCCCATGACTAAATATGTCCCTTCCCGGGTCTGGATGTTTTTGGCCAAGGTGTTGGGCTCAGGAAGTAGGCAAATTTTTCCCAGGTCTAGCAGCCGACAGAACAGGCCAGTAAAACCCTAGACTATTACTCACCACTGGCTCGCCAGTGTTCGCTGTCAGCGGCGTCTGCATTATTTTTGGCTGCCTGTGCTGCCCAGCTCTGAGTGTCAGTGAGTCAGGGCTGCCACCAGGAGCTGGGCTGACCGAGTCTTCTCTGTGATTGTGGGGCACATCTTTGCTAGAGCAGGGAGCTGGCAGGCAGGTGTGCTGGGCAGGCAGCAGGCCTGGAGGGTGGGTTCCTGAGTGGGCCAGCTCTGCTCCATCCCTGTGGTCTGTAGGTGAGAAAAGAGTCTGTCCCTAAGGTCCTAGCAGGATAAAGAGTGTTGCTTATTTCCCAGACTTTCCCTTTGGGCCCCTGGAGTAGCTGAATGCCAAGGTGCTCCCCAGGCCAGAGAGCAGTTGGTAGCAGTAACCAGGCTTTGACAGAGCATCCCAGAGCCTGCCTCTGGGAACACCAAACCTCTTTGTGTGTCTTCCCTCCACAGGCTTTGTACCATGGAAAGTTCATTGACACGGGCTTCACACTCCCTTTCTACAAGCGGATGCTCAATAAGAGACCAACCCTGAAAGACCTGGAGTCCATTGACCCTGAATTCTACAACTCTATCATCTGGATCAAGTGAGTCCCCTTGCATGCCCCATGCTGGGAGAGGGATCTCTGGTGGTGAGGTAGGTACCCATGGCCTTTATTTTCTCTGCTGTAGTGCCCTGTGGGCTCTTACCTACATTATATAAGTGCTTGTGGAGGTGCACAGCTTTTCGGTTCCCTTTAGGGCAGCTCTGGAATTCTCTCCTTGCATCGGAGTGGGCTGTGCCACTGCTCTGGAGTCCTGGCTGCCTGTGCATCCTCATGTTCCATGGGCACTAAAACTGAGTGATGGCTCAGGATCCAGGGAAGACCCTTCTAACACAGACACCCTCCCTCTTGTGCTCTCGTGTCCCCAGAGAGAACAACCTAGAGGAGTGTGGCCTAGAACTGTACTTCATCCAGGACATGGAGATTTTGGGCAAGGTGACCACCCACGAGCTGAAGGAAGGTGGTGAGAACATCCGAGTGACAGAGGAGAACAAGGAGGAGTATATCATGTGAGTCTCAGTGCTGGGGAGACCAGCGGTGGAACAGAGACATGGCTGGCTGTTCCTGGCCACCCTCTTCAGCCAGGCCCCATGTGTGGCCCATAGGTCACCAGGGATTGCAAAAACCCCCTCTTTCTGCATGGGCTTCAGTTGGCTGACTGTGGCTGGTCACACCTCCCAGAGATGGGGCAGCCAGAGCCCAAAGCCCTTGTACAGCTCCATTTGCTCTCTTTTTCCCACATGGACTTCATGACTGCAGGGCTGAATTTCTCTGAAGAGTCATGAAACTGAGACATCTTTCTTTTCTTTCCCTGAATGAAAGGATTTCTGTGTCCTGTGTGCCTAATCTATCTCACGTGTGTGTATGCACATATTCACTTGTGCTTGTTCTTCAGGTCTCTTGGTTCAGTCTGTTAACATCCACGCGTCTGATGCTCAGCTGGTGACAGTACAAGGAGTAGGACGTGGTGGTGATTTCAAAGACCGTGTAACTCTGGGTTGCTGCGAGGTTTAAGAGTTTCTGCCTTGGGCCAGCAGCAGCCACTCCTCGCAGTACTGGAAGTCGAGTCTTAGCCCATTCCTTGCTGCCTGGTGACACCATCCTCTCCGCAGGTCCTGAGCTGCTCCTAGGCAGTGGGTCTCAGGCTCTACTGACAGCCAGTCTTTGTTTTTAGGCTGCTGACCGACTGGCGTTTCACCCGGGGTGTGGAAGAGCAGACCAAAGCCTTCCTGGACGGCTTCAACGAGGTGGTCCCCCTGGAGTGGTTGCGCTACTTTGATGAGAAAGAGCTGGAGGTGAGAGCTAATGTTGTTGGGACCCTTAGCCCCTGCCTCTGGGGCAGTTCTGCCCTTTGATAGCTTCACTGTGTACCCACAGAAACCCCCAGTAAAACTCCACACTCCCAAGGATGGCAGAAGCAGGGGAATAACTTTGATTTGGGTCCTCACAACCACCCCTCCCTGGGCCCTGGTGTAAGAGGGTCCATGTTCAAGATTTGTGTTATCCATGTGATTAAAACGGCCAGCAGAAACAGTTGACAGTGTTTGAGGTGCTTCTATCTGCTGGGAAGCCGGAGAGACACGGGTGGGGAGGGCCCAGCATTGAGTGGCTGATACCCTTTCCCCTGTAGCTGATGCTGTGCGGTATGCAAGAGATAGACATGAACGACTGGCAGAAGAATACCATCTACCGGCACTACACCAAGAACAGCAAGCAGATCCAGTGGTTCTGGCAGGTGGGTCCTGCCAGCTGTTACTGCAGCCCACCAGCGGGAAGATCATCTGCTTAGACTTAAGCCCAAGGATCCTTGTTCTGTTGTCGCCTCTGTATCCCCTCCCCCATCTTTGACCCTTACCTGGCTGCCCTCCATCCCCTGCCAGCTTGCAAAAGGAGATGAGAAACCCAGTTTTGGGACAGTGAGGTTGTTGCAGCTGGGTTGTGCCCAGTGCATTTGACAGGGGTGTCAGTGGGGGGGTGCAGTTTCAGCTCTGAAGGCTGGTGTGCGGGCAACAGGGTGCCCGCACGCAGGAAGGAATGTTCCCACAGGTCACGTGGTTTCCTTCAAGCCAGGTGGGATGGGAGAGCATGTGCTTGGTTTCAGAGAAACTGAGTGAGCTCTTTATCCTGGGTATAATGAATTGGTTCTTTTATATATGTAGGCCTTGTTGTTGTCAATATCAAGTACAGCAAATACACAAACAGAATAACTATATGCGATATTTTTGGTTTAGTTGAAATTCACATACCATGAATTGACCTTGTTAAGCATTTTAAGGTATACATTTCAGTGACTTTTCACAGTATTGTGTAATCATCAGACTATCTAATTCCAGAACAGTTTGTCCCCACCGTGCCGGGAAAAAACCTGTACCCATTAAGTAGGCACTCCCATTTTTAGTTTATTTTTTAAAGTAGAACTTAGGAGGGAAGAGACTACCTGGCACGAGTTGTTCCTGAGACTGAGAGATATCCCATGGACTGTTGGGAATGTTCTACAAATACAGCCTCTTGGAGTAGCTTTGGGGTTTTCCTAGTTGGTAGCTGTCACCTCTGCTCACCCCAGGCTTTGTGTTCTTAGCCCCAAAGAGCAGAGGTGTGGGAGAGTTACAGGACAGGGTAAAGAGCTGGGCCAGTGGCGTCGCCTGACTGCTTTGGCTTTCGGAGTTGCAGGTGGTGAAGGAGATGGACAATGAGAAAAGCATCCGGCTGCTGCAGTTTGTTACAGGGACCTGCCGCCTGCCTGTCGGGGGATTTGCTGAACTCATTGGTATGTCTTCCCTTGCCCTGCTGGTACCCCTGGGTGGGGTGAGGGCAGCTCACAGGGAGGTTGGGATCTAGTGTCTCCCTGGAAGCAAGTCAGTGGAAGGGTCAAGAGGGTCCTGCCTAGGAAGGGTCTCACCTGCTATATAAGGTGCATTTTTCTTCGGATAATAGGTAGCAATGGACCACAGAAGTTTTGCATCGACAAGGTTGGCAAGGAAACCTGGCTGCCCAGAAGCCATACCTGGTGAGCCTGCTGGTTTTACTAGGATGTGGCTGGAACCTCACAGACCTGATGAGCCCCTAAGGGCAGCCCAGTGGACAGGGTGACTTTGGGGCCCTGACTCCGGCAACTTTTTGCATGGCCCTGGGATATTGGGTTGGAGAGGAGGGCCTGTGATGTGCCCGCCCCCTTTGTCTGGGCCTCTGATCTTTGGGGAATTGTAGCAGCAGGTATGCACCCCGACCTTCACACCAGGTATTAAATACTGGAATACTTCCATTTCAGGAGGCAAAGACTGCTGCGCCGAGTGTCCTCTTGCGCAGTTCCCCATTTCCCCAGCTGCCTGTCCTCCCTCCTAACCCCTCTGTGGTCCCGGAACCTGAGGCATTAAGGCCCAACAGAGCAGGGTCTTTGAAGTCCCTGTTCCAGCATCTCGCCAGCTGATTGGTACTGTGGTCAAGCCACAGTCACTTGAAAGCTTTTGACCTCCTCGGCCAACAGCCCCGACCTTCCGTGCTGACTGTACTGTACCCTCTCTCAACAGTTTCAACCGTCTGGATCTCCCACCATACAAGAGCTATGAGCAGCTGAAAGAGAAGCTGCTGTATGCCATCGAGGAGACCGAGGGCTTTGGACAGGAGTAGCTGAGGCTGCATCCTCCGGTGCCCCCCCAGCACACATGTAGTCACGAGTCCTCCCTGCCTGAGAGGCTGCTGGCTGCAGCCCCTGGGAGGCCCCTGCAGATGGCAGCCCTGCGTGGGACCACAGTGTCATCAGGCTGATGGCAGCCGAGCCCGACCTCAAAAGGCACTGCCCCCTCCTCTGACCTACCCACTGGTGGCAGTCTGGAATAAAACCCCTTAGTCACCTTAGCCCCACCACCCACTGCAGTTTGGAGGGCTGACCCTCTGCAGAGCTCACACTCCCTCTCCCCTGAGGACCACTGTAGACGTGTGTGTGTGTGTGTGTGTGTGTGTGTGTGTGTGTGTGTGTGTGCGTGCAAGGGAGATGCCCCTGCTGAAGGGCTGCAGCACAGGCCCTGGCCCCTGGGCTAGTTAGGTGAGAAGAAGACTGGCCACTTGGGGTGGCTGACTGGGTTGAGAAGGCCTGGGGTCCTTGCCAGTATAAGAGGTTCTGTTTCAAAAGAACTGTCCCAATGGCCTGTACAAAATGAAGGTCTGAGAGAGAGGAGCTCTTCCCACACCCAGAGCTCTGGATCAAGGCTGTCTTGCTTCCTTCCCTAGCAGGCTCTAGCCACGGAGGCTGAGCAGCAGGCCCCTCTCTCCACTCAGAGCTGGCCAGTTCACTCTTCCCAGCCAGTAAAGGGGTGTGCCAGTTGCTTGGCTATCAGTGGGATGGAAACAGCAACTCAGACTTTTCTTTTCCCTTTACATAAACTTGAAGCATTTTGTGTGTAGGGTTGCTTTGTGTTCTGTTGCTGGTGTGCTGTTGTCACGTTCTGTCAAGGAGATGGTGCACCAGGTGTTGCTGGGACTTGGGAGACTTAGCACCGTTAGTCTAAGAATTTCCCAAATAGCTGTTCCTCTTAGGAACCAGCTTAGCAGTTTTGTGAGCTCAGGCAGCTGAACGTCACGGCAGTCTCATCCCTGAGCCTTGACAAAGATGGAAGGGATGGAGCCCAGAGTTGCACCCAACCTTGCTTCCTTTGAGAGAGGAGAACTCCCTTTGCTAGATGCAATCACTGAGGCTCTAGACCTCCACGTGGGTCTGTTAGTCCCCTGTTGAGAATGAAGTGCAACCCCACCACCCCAGCGCATGTTCGTTCTGTGTAGAAGTGAGGATTTGCCTGCACACAGGAAACAGTGCTCTGGGGAACCGGCTGGAGGGCCCTGAGCAGCTGCACACATCGGACTTGATTTCTGGAGCCCTCGGGGGCTCTGTCAGGGACATTCTGCCATGTATTGATATCTTTGGGGTGAACATGCTCCTCTGGGATGCCAGAGCAGCGATGGTCCTAAACTTCCCAACCCAGCCCCCCAGGTTCTAGTGCCAGCACCAACTGCAAACTAGCTCCAGCTTCCTGGGACCCCAGGCAGGCCCTCAGACTAGTCATGGACCTTGAAAGGATAGTTCTGCGTTCCCAGATCCTTGTCCTTCCCCCAGGCCCATGGAGGGACTGCCTGTGTGCACTGTGTTGGGTGTGCTGATTGGAGTGGCTCAGCTCACTGCAGCTGAACCCTTTTTCTCCCCTGGGGTCGTTTGCTGTGCTTCTCTGCAGTGTCTCACCACGTCAGGGGTCAGGGTGTGAGCTGCCGTGCAGAGTTTGGAAACCTTGGACTTACATGTGTTCAGAGCGTGTTCATGTGCGCATGTGTGTATATATGTGTATATAACAGGTGTCTACAGAATGTCCTTTGGTAGCTCTGGGTTGGTCATCGGATTGTTTTGTAATGCCTCTTGCCAAGGCATTGCCAGGTTCCTGTGCAATAAACAGTCAACTGCTATGGGTGGTGATGGCGTGTTGTCTCCAAAATCACTGTCCAAGGTAAGAGGCCTCAGAGCCCCATGGGCACGCCAGGTCCAGATTGGGGTGGAAGGTCCCTCACCTTGCTGGTTTGGAGAAGAATGTGTGTCATTAACCAAGACAGCCACAGTTTTGATGGGTGACTTGAGACCTGGTCCAGGGATCACTGGCTTCAGCCCTTGGTCAGTTGCTTCACTGCTCCCTTTTGGTGTCCTCAGCCTCCCCTGACAGGCCTGGGTTTCTTTGAGCAGTTGCTGTGGGACCAGAACACCCAACAGGTAAGGCTGCATGTTGGACAGACTCCAGAAAAAAAGTCTTAGAGGTGGCGTTCTCACAGTCGTTTATTCAAATAACATCTCTGAGTATGTCTCGGGTTCTATGACTACAGCGTGACTCTGATCCTGAGTTCCTGGCCTTGCAAGGGCTCACCATCTACTTTTCTAAGTCCTTAAGAGTTCGGATGGGACAGGTTACCATGCTGCTGGGTCTCAATGTATTTGACACAAAAGTGACTGTCATGGATAGAGTCTTGGCCTGATTGTGCTCCTAAAGGGAGGCAGAGGTGTTTAGAGGGGGTCCTTCCTCATAGCTGAGTTCATACCCTGCTGCCCAGCTCCAGAGCCTTTTCCACTTGACAAGGCGGTGCTATCCTTTGAGAACAATGTTGACTAAAGCCCATGTGCTATACAGATGCCTCATAATAAATTCAAATAAGACTCCACTCTTATCGCTACGGGTAACTGCTGTGCAGCTTGCTGTGGTCCTTCCAAACTATTTTATGTGCATATGCAAATCATACATACATAAAATTTTTCAGTAGACCAAAAATGAGCTCTTGTATATTGAACAACTCATTTGCTTCATTAAATGAGCTATTAGGGAGACCTTTCCATGTTTGTCCACATACCTATCTGTAATTGATTCTTCACTGCGTGATGTTCTGTGTTGTGGTGGTTCTATAGTGCACCTGCCTTTGTCCTCCCAGGTGCTGTGGTTGTGTCCATCAGTTTGCTGGTGGCTGCAGAGTTTCTGTGCGCGCCCTTGGGCAGGTCTTGGGCACTGATGCTGCTCTTCTGGGAGAGGGCAGTTGTCCTCGAAGTTGGACTGTTGATGATATGCCTTCATGTTTTACTTTAAAAAATTTAAAAGGTTTAAAAAAATATAGAAAGGGCCTTCAGTGAAAGCACCTCCCCCCGCCCCTTACTCTTGTTCCTCAACCACTCTGGTCACCTTCAAGGGGCAACTATTGTTTGCTGGTTTCTTCTGGGTCCTTCTAGACATACTTTAAAAATCCCAGTAGATTCTACCCAGTTGCCCTTCAAAATGGTTCTTGTTTTACCAGCCTTAGCAATGGGCAGGACCCCTTGTCACCCCACTGGGTGACTGAGTTTGTGAGCACCCATCTCTCCTCCCAGCTCTCGGTTCCCTTTCCCAGCTCCTGACTCTGGACTTCTGTCCTTTTACATGATCAGTTTTTTTTTTAAAACATTTACTTTATAACCATAATGAAATCTGTACTTTTTTTGGAGGCTTATTTGAAAAAGGAATAAGAATATTTATATGACTATGATCATATAAATACTGTCTACTCCAGAGCTAATTAGTATAAAGTCAGACAATTATCTCTTCTGCATAAGCTCTTTCACCCTGGAGGCTCTAATTACTTCTCTTTGCTTTTATTATATCCACTCTTTTTCTTACTCTGAAGTGCTTCAAGTGAAACCAGTTGGCAGAGAGTACCCATACCCCTGCACATTGTAATAAGTTCCTGATGTAATTAGCCAAAATGAAGATCAGATATGTCTCCCTTTGTTACCCAAGGTCCCCAGGGAGTGGGTCTCCCAGGTGCCAGTAAAGCTACATAAGGTAAAATCTCACTGGGTCTGGAAAGCTCAGTTCCAGCTTCCCCACTGTCCTTTGATATCCAGGCTCACTTCCCCCTTCTAGGAGAACTTCCCCTAATGGTCTCTGTGCTTTCATTTAGAGGAGTGCTTATAAATAGCAGGCTGTCCTGATTCTTGAGCCAAACTCAGCATCAATGAGGCCCCGGCCTCATTTTGGGGAAGAAAATTGAGTTGGTGCCCAAAGTTGTAAACTTAGTTTCCCTACAGTCTACCTCTTGAATCCAGTTTTAAATACCATTTTATCTTGGTCCCTCTGAGGCAGGTTGGTTCAAGCACAGTCAAGCCCGCTTTCCTATGGCCCACACAGCACAAGTTGGGCACCCTCAACGGACTCTTGCCAGAGCATGTGACTTCTCATTGGTTCTTTTCTGTTATCTGTACCCTTTGCACATCCATGTGGACTCAATGCCCAGCTCCCAATTAGCTAGTTCCAGTGGCGATAATCACTGTTCTCTTTTTGATGCTTGTTACCATTTGATTCTGTCACCCTCCTGGATATCTCTGATGCTTTCTCAGGGGTGTCCAATTTTTTGGTGTCTCTGGGCCAACTCTGGAAAAAGAGTTGTCTTGGAACACACATTAAGCACACAAACACTAATGAAAACTGATGAGCAAAAAAAAAAAAAGATTTTAAGTAAATTTGTGATTTTGTGTTGGGCCACATTCATAGCATCCTGAGCTGCAAGCAGCCAGCAGACCGCCAGGTGGATACCTTCGAGTGATACTCTGTTCTCTACGTTGGTTCCATTGCCCCCAACACAGAATTGGCTTCTCCACCAGGAGCCCTGGTTTTGGTTTTTTTTTTTTTTTTGGTATAAAATAGCATTAGAAAACGAGGTGGGTTCCATCAGTGTGGCACAGTGAATTTATCCTTTGGTCAACCTCTCTGCTCTATCACATATAAAGACCCACAGAATGTTAGAAGAAAAGGAAGAAGGCTGATTTGAAAACAGGGTAAAGGATTCCATGGGTCAGAAATAGAACTAAATGCAAAACACTGAACAAGATTGAAGCTGTGGGCCGGCTGCACCTGAACCTGACAGTGGTGGGAGTTCAGCTGCCGTGGGCCGAGCAATCTGAATGTGTCCCTTGTAGACCAGGGATGGGCACCAGCCCATGGCTCTCTCCTGTTTCATGAAAGAGGCCAAGCAGCAAACCCAAATTTGCTGCTGTGCACTGGGCTATGGCTTTGAGAAATATGGAGGCTTAAGGAGGCACAAACTCATCAAGCCAAGCGACCCCAGTGGTCCTGGCCTGGATCTGTGGTGTTCCTAGGTCTCCTCCCCTAGCCAGGCTGTCAAGCCATCATTCAAGGGTCAGGCTTGAGAGTGGATGCCCTTCAGGACAAGAGGAGGAGGCAGCTGCAAAACTATTAGGCAGATGGAGGAGTGAAAGAAAACTTCAAGTTTTTGTCTCCATATTTTGCCTGCTGTTTGCTGTAAGGGGATTAGGTGGCAGATGAGTCTTTTGACACCGGGGCCCTAAATGTCACTGTTCAGGGGTCTTTGGGGTGATCAGTTTTTCCAGAGGTGAATCCTCTGCTCCTGCCCGAGGAGTAGACTGTACCTGAGACAGGTACACCTGCCTCTAGGCTTCCCAGGAAGGAGCTGAGGCGCTCAGATTACCAGCCACTGACTTCTCACTCTTTCAGCGGTTACTTCCTCCAGCCTTCTGCTCTGACGTGGGTCCCTGGGCCTGGAGCTCCACTTGAATAACCTCTGTCTCCAGCAGATGGGAGAGGGGAGGTAGCCAGGCTGTGAGGGGCTTGGGAAGGACCTGGGTATCCAACTCTTCTATGTAGAAAGTTCACTACCGCAGGTTTCAGCTCTCCTCTTGCCTTCCTGCTGCCAATGAGAATCTGGGGACTTGCACATTTCTTAGCTTAAGACCTGGTCAGTTACACTTTTTCACCTTCTTACCACCTTTGAAAGCTTCCTTGTGCCCTCGTCCATCAATAAATCCTGAGGATGGTTAATCTGCTGTGTCGTTAACTTCCTTTCCTTTGATAGGTCTGTGTGGGGGTGAAGTGGGGACAGCTGGTAGCTGGCAGTGTGTGCATACAGGTTCCAAAGGGGGCTTGACCTTTCCATTGTATCGATTTTCAACTGATACGCCTGTGCTTACCCCGTGACCATGACTCTGATTCCTCTCAAAACTGAGCCTTTCCCAGGTTCTGCAGGGCTCAAGAGAACGCTCCTTTCCTTGAATTCTTGGCTGGGGCTCCTGCTACTGGCTGCTCCTCCCACTTTCCTTTCTGCTTAAATGTGGTGAAGTACCTTGTCCACCCCTCAGACGCTACCTTTCAAATGGGCCAAATGGCCAGGGAAAAGTGGGAAATCTTTTGCATTCATCATCATTTTAATGGGGTCTTAGGAAGGAGAAAAGATAAATTTTACATGTAGGAAGTGACTTTTTGCTAATCAGCCACAGTTAAGCCCATTGCACCTCACCTCTCTCAGAGCCTGGGTTCCTAACTGGTTTGCTTTGCTCTGCTTTGTTATGTCCAAAGCAGGGATGGCAATAGATAGTCCTGTTTGTGAATAAGAGGGATGTTTTAGTTCTGCATTTTTCTACTAACATTGTTTTTATTCTAGGACAGTAATTAGACACTGTCATGAAAAAAGAAAATACACTGTAGCCTATTATGGGTTACCCTGGTGAATGCTTGTTCCCGTCTGTGAGAGGCAGACTTCCCATGGGCGCCTCCCACCCCACGACCCCCTCTTGGTGTAATCTCCTCCCTCTGAGTGGGGCTGGGCTAGCAATTTTGCTTCTGACCAGTAGAGTATGGCAAAGGTGTTGGGCTGTCACTTCTGTGATTAAATTACAAAGGATCGTGACATACCACTTGCTGGCTAACTCTCCATTGCCTTCTTGGCTTGTGTACTTTGATGAAGCAAGCTTCTAGAAAGGCCTATGTGGCAAGGGGCTGAGGGCAGCTTCCTGTCAACAACCAGTGAGGTACTGAGGCCCCTGGTCCAACAGCCCACAAGGCATCGAATCCTGCCAACAACCACATGTGCTTGGAACCCTGAGGTGACTCACCCAGATGATACCTTGACTGCTACCTGTGAAC